ATTCCTGCTCCACTCAGCCCGACAGAAATTTGGGCAACAGGAAAAAACAACTGGAGAAGCAACCATAAGAGGACACGGGGGTGCTTATCCCCACACCTCACCATGCCAAAGGCTGGTTTGACCCCAGCATCCAGCCTCCATCCCTGCTTCCCCCAAACAGAGCAGGGGCTGAGCTGGGACCCTGGCAGACAACAGAGCCTCACCCCTGCTGCCCCATGGCACCTCAAACTGCACGTGGGACCCTGAGCCCAAGCACAGGTCTGATGCCAAAAGACACCCTGGGAGGAAAGCTCTGCATGTGTAAACCCAAACACAGCAGGCTTGGCTGACTGCAACCACATATAGACTGAAAACACATGTGCTCACCCCCACACACAACATACCCTCCCCCATTTACAACTCACAGCATCTATGCTTCACCCTGCAAGCACAGAGTTACCTTTGCTGTGGGGGTCTCTCTGGAGCTGCCTGGCATGGGGGGCCCTGCATCCCAGGCACGTGCATTTCCCACACCTGTAATGCACACACGAGCAGTGAGCCAGCTAAAAAGCACACAAAGCAGCACAAAATCAAGCCTGGCTGCTCCCTCCTGGCTGCTCCCTCTGCTTTTCATGCTGCCCTCTCCCATGGATGCCCTGTGACACAGTCCTTGGTGACCACGTGCCATTGCACTGAGTCCCTGGCAGGCTGATGGATCCCGGGCCTTGAATGTGTTCCAGCTGCAGCTCCAGGCAGAGGTTTCCCTATGGCCTCACATCCACATATGGATTGCAGGCATGCATGGTTGTTCCTCTGGAGCAGCCACCCTGGGGGTGGAGCTCAGCAGCGTTTGGCTGGTGGGAAGTGGTGGAAAAATCAGGGAGAGCAGCAGAGCGTGCTGTTGGCTGAGCTGGCAGCATCTCCCTTTTTGGCAGCAATTGGCACCATCTGGGAATCCTGCCAAGGCACAACAGCCACTGCTGGCAGGGCTCACACTCCTCCAAAGGGAGATGGCTGTGGTGAAGTGGGAAAGACTCCTCAGGGTAACAATTTGCCTCCTAAGGCTGGGGAGCTAAGCCTGATGCCAGGCACTACTGCATCTGCCCTGGGCACCTAATGAGGGGGAAGATGGCTCTAAATGCTGTGTGGGCAAGGAGAAACACACTCTCTGCCTCCACACAGCCAGCCCCTGGGAACTCCTTCCCCTGGGAAAGTCAGAAGACAGGCTTCCCTCAGGGTGCTTCCAGGCTGCTGGGCTCCAGCACCCTGCAGGGGAGCACAGGGGAGCCCAGGCGGGGAAGGCACGATGGGTGGGCAGGATGGATGGGTGGATGGGCAGGATGGATGGATGGATGGGCTCAGGGGGCTGCACTCTCACAGCACCCACCCAGAAGGGGCTTGTGGAGGGGTTGTCCTTCCCTGCCTGACCTTCTCCTTTCTCTCCCCAGCCTCTTTCTTCGGGGACAGCTTCGTGGAGCTGCCGCTGGCAGACGCCTCCCGGGCGCTGCGGCTGCGGCTGCAGCTGCTCACCAGTCAGCCCAGTGGGCTGCTCTTCCTGGCTGCTGGTCACCCCGACCACCTCCTGCTCCAGCTGCGAGCTGGCAGCCTGCAGGTCAGCACCCCAACACCCCTCCCCAGGTGGGGATGCTCACCCCAGCACCCCATGCATGGTCAGAGAAGGTGCATGGCACCCCCAGGGAGGGAGGGGTTAGGGGTGAGCTGTGAGGGTCTGGAGGAAGGAGACATCTCTCCTGTCCTACCACAGGTCAAGCTCAACTGGGGCATGGGAAGGGATGGAAGAATAAAATTCCCCCTTGTGGTTGTGGTGCTGGCATCCACCACGAAGGACAAGAGCAGGGAGCATCTGAAGCACAGGTCCCACCTCTCCTGCAGCCTGGGCTGGGCCACCAACCACATCTAAAGCAAAGCAGGAGAGCAAGCAAGCAGCTGGCTGGAGGTCTCCCTAATGCAGACCATGTGTCTCAGGGTCCCTCAGCTAAACCTCTACTTAGGAGGCTCCAGGCTGCTGCCCACGGGAGCAAAGCCTACTATTTCCCTTACCATTCCTAGGGCAAAGCTGGAAGCAGCCCAGGCTGCAGGGATGGAGGGCAACAGACAGGATGGAGCAGGGAGAAAGGAGCCAGCATCTAGCAAGGCTCCTCCATGGGAGGAGAGGGAAAGCCCAGGGGTGGGGCTGTGGGACTGGGAGATGAAGGACCCCAGGAAATAGCCCTGAGACTGGGCTCTGCTGGGAGAGTGAAGAAGGAGAGAATTCAGAGGGCAGGACAGAGAGGGCCTGCCCAAAGGGGTGGGTGGATGAGGGAGGAGCCCTCACAGAGGAGGAAGAGGCCAGGATGAACAGCAGTGAACTGAAGGACCAAAGCACTTGTGAGCCCCCAGGGACAGTCCATTTTTAGGTATTTCTGAGCTGTGCCTGCTGTGCTGCAGGTAACACCTTGCTTGAGCTGAGCCCTCTCCACGTCCTTCCCTGCAGGCCAGACTGCAGCTGGGCCAGGAGGAGGTGATGCTGCAGTCCCCAGAAGAGCTGCAGCTCAATAACCTGGTCAAGCACGAAGTGGAGCTGCTGGTGGAGGATGGCAGGATGACGTTGACCATTGATGGCCTTTTCAACAGCTCCGTGGACATTCCAGGGCCTGTACAAGAGCTGGACATCAAGTATGGCCTCTATGCTGGTGGGACAGGCAGCCTCGACCTGCCATACCTCACTGAGGCCAGCCCACCCTTCAGAGGTTGCCTCCACTTGGTGACTTTCAATGGCCTGGATGTTCTCTCCCCTCTGTCCTCTGATGGCAGCTCCAAGGTTTTCCACCGAGTCCAGGAAGGGTGCAGCACACAGTTCCTTGCAGAGCCTGAGGACCCCTTTGGGTTCCTGGGGCCTCACTCCTACATTGCGTTTCCCACGTGGGATGCAAGGGAGGAAGCAACCATCGAGTTCGTGATAACCACAAGCATCACCCAGGCCCCCCTCATCTACCACGCGGGGCTGGAGAACGACTTCTTCTACCTGGAGATCTCCAACGGGCGCCTCAGAGGGTTTGTTGAGAAGGGCAATGGCATCATTGTCCTGCACAACAACGTCTTCATCAGCGACGAGCAGCAGCATTACGTCAAAGTCTACACAGCCATCCACAAGTTGGAGATCCTGATCGATTACTACGCTTCGTCCACCTCCAACCGGGGCATCAACAACCACCTGGACCTCCAGGGAAACCTCTTCATTGGAGGTATGAATGACAAAGCTTTGCAGAGGCTAAAGGAGCATCACCTTGCTTTCATCTCAGTGTGGACCATGACCAACAACTCGTTTGTTGGCTGCTTGGAGGACCTGCGGATAAACCTGCAGAGGAGAAGCCTGCAAGATGCCGTGATCACCAGGGACATCACAGCAGGCTGTGGAAAGCAGGAGCACTACTGGGACTATGAAGAGGTGTATGAGCAGGATGAGGCACCCACCTCCCCACCTCCAGATGTCCGGGCAGGAGCACCAGGCCTGGTGGTGGAACCATGCCAGCCAGACAGCAGCTTCCCACCGGCCTTTGTCAACATCAGCAGGACGCCGCAACC